CAATTATTTTCGTTGTTTCGTTTCGTTAACGATACCAAAATCCAGGTAACAATTGTCTTATACCAACTCACCATACGAATAACAATTATCAAACAGTTCTAGGAAAACTATGTTACCGGGATATCCTTGTCTTTGTTTGCATGGAATCCCTTTTCGCAGGCTTTCTGAGTGAAGCGTGTCGATAAATCAATCATAAATTAATGATTCTAAAGATAAGTTAGTGAAAAACGACAATTAGATCGCGGCTAAAAAAGTTTCATGAAAAACCGCCCAGGTGAGTTGAGAAGCTGTTTCTTAAACCACATTAATTATGTTATTCTTAAATTGCATGGCCACGTATAATCGAAAGTTCGGTTGTGGCATCAATGGAAAACATCTATCGTAAATGAAACACTATATATATATTTATTTATATGGCGTTATTAGGAATTACATGTAAACATCCCCGACTTACATTTCTTATCGTTTAAAATTAGGCAAAAATATTCTTGCAATGAAAAAACTTCAATTATAATAATATGTTTTGAAGTGCCATCCGGTAAGATTGTGAAGATTGTGAAGAGCCAATGAGACAATATTTGGGCAGCCTTGACATTTTTTCCCAAGAACAATAATTAAAAATATTGCCACAAAAATTAAGCTTGTAAAGAATGGAAGCCACCAGCTTTGGCAAGAAACCATCTGGCAAAAAATTGTCTTAACCTGAATAGTAATAGGCCATGTCATAATGGAAGTATTAATGAAATTTTTGTCTTTAGTGAAAGCCATTATTTAATAAACGCAAAGGAAACGAGTATTCGTACTCAAACACGTACATTTTAAGAAAGTTGTTCTCTCAACCCGAGTCCCACGATCGTTTTACTAAACTGAAAGTGCCTGAAACTTATTAAAAAGAACATAGCAATGCTTGTTTATGTCTGCTGAAATTCTACAACAAAATGGTTCTTGCCAAAATAAAATGAGAACGTAGAAACGGGACTTTGGCTTACGGTCGCCATTTGAGAATCCTAGAGAGTTTGGCTTGTTTTTCCTCTCTCCCCTGTTGTTGTTTTTGTTAATACCTTTTCAGATGGTATCTAAAGCAACGTGTACCCATTGTTAAGTAAAATTACGCTCGAAGCAATCTTAAATTTGGCCAAACGTTTTATCTGAGTGTTAATTTTTGTGACCAGTTAAGGTGGTTTACAGCTTACACAAAAAATAATTTTTTACTTCAAACAAGCCACTTGTGAAGAACTGGCGTTGTCTATTATTTTTTTTAAACCACAGCCTATGTTGGATTTCGGTAAGTTAGACTGTTTTACGGCCCCCAGTGTTTATTTTGACCTCGAACCTTAGATCTCCCGCGTAGTACAACGCAATTGAATTAACCAAGTGATAGTTTCATGTCTAAAATCAGGTAATGAGCGATTTTTACGGCCAATACGAAAGACTGAAACCAAGGCTAATTTTTCGTTAAAAAAAAGTAATCGAAAAGATGTGGAAGCAGTCCCAATAAATTATTTACGTCATGTAACACTGATATTTTGAATTTAAATTACCCTTCACATAAAATTCATATTTTTGGAATATTGCGACCCATAATATGCTAGTTAGCGTTCAGTCACCATAATGTGACACAATTTTCACAACAAGTTTTTCCAGGGACTACCTTCGGCTCAGGTGTGTCGCTTAAACAACTTTTAATTGTAGATCGGTTGTGGTAATTTTTTTTCGAGATCTCCTTATGTAAGTGTCGGTTTTCGACTTATTAATTCCTTGTGGGGAAAAAGGGAAAAAAAACTCATTTGCTAAAGGTTGTCTTGGGTCCTAGTCGTCAAAAATTCCTTACCTCAGATAAAACTAATTTGAATACAAGGTTTTGTACTGAAAAAAACTTGTTTTTATCATGATTATGACAGCTTTGCAGTCCTTCGAAAACGGTCTTCACAAGGGCAAGTTTAGCTCTGTCAGACCTTTGCCCAAAACATTATCAGATTATTGCTTTACACAGGTACTTGTTGATGTTATTGTTGTTCACAACTTTAATTGGCGAGCGAGTTTTAGGTTAATGAACAAATTATAAGAACGCTTACCTTTTCAATCAGTTCAAATGTGGTCTCGTTCTTTGCCTTAAAGAAATGTATTGCCAGAACGGATGAGTAATGCCCTATGGCATAAAAAGAAAAAAAATTCATATGAATAATTTAACACTCAGTGAGCGGAGTTGGCTTAAGCCCAGTTCAAACGTCGAACTTCAAATGAGACGAACTAACTTACGATTTTTGTCGGCCCCAACGGGCAAAGTTCGACCGTTGAATCAAACGTCGAACATAAATCGTCGAACCAAGTTCAGAACAGCAAAAACGAATCTTTAGGTCAGCGGGATTTCACATAAAGCATTTGTAATTTATTCATTAGGTTCGATTCATGAACAGATTGACGGTTGTCCCACAGATGTGATCTTCACGTGTTCTATCCGTCCGAAGCAGACAGACAGAACGTATTGGTCGATCCAAATTCAGTTGGACGAACTCTACTGAATCAGTTTAGTGCGTGTCATGTGAAGTTTGACGTTTGAACTGAGCCTTTATGGCAGAGGAAACTAATCCAAGTGAAACAGTGAAACGTCAAGTACGTCACAAAGATGCATAATTACAAGAAAAAATACGCACGAATTTTCGCAGACCAAGACCTATGAAAATACGGTATCCGTAGCAACGCCAGTTGCTTTGTGCAAGAAGAACAAAAATTGATTACAAATAAGCTTTCAATAGATGCATAAATAACAGCTTTCCTCCAATTAAGGAGAGAGAAACATATATTTAGGGTAGAGGGCCATTTTGGGGACACTCTCATAAGGTCCTAAACTAAAGGGCAGTTTCCTTCAAGGGACCCTTTTTCATCTCCTGCGGATGTTCCTTTATCGGCGCTAAGTTTTAATGTAACGTTGAAACCAGGAAACCAGGTAACCTGGAATTTATTTCCACAAGATCAAGCACAACGGTCGGGAAAGATTAAGAAACGGCCAAAAGATACTATGGGTAAATAAACGACACAAATGAGTAAATAAATGAATAAAAGTATAAATACAACAACCCTTTTTCATAAATGATTTTGGGCTCTTTAATTTCCTAGTATAAAACAAAGTACTCGAGTTTATTTGTTCATTTCACATTTAATGTTTGTTCAACAGTCCACCACTGTTTTCTTTATGGTTAACTGGCCAGTATACGGGTTTTTTTCTTATTAGACGAACATGAACATAAGAAAGGGTGAAATTACTGAGAAAGTAATTTTACAGCAAATTTTCTAAGTTAAGTTTGATACATTTTCCGAAAAATCCTGCTTGTCTTACTAACTAATAACCCCCTTTTCCATCATAAGCTTCAACGTACACAGAGAGAGTAAAATTAATAAAAACCTTGCCATTTCACTGGCCAATTGAAAAAAGGGATAGGCAATTGGCAGTTGAACATTTTATAGGTCTTTTCCTCAAAGAAAAGTTTTCGACGCCGGATCGAGAGATCGACTTCCTAGTTTTAAATAAACACATTCAACTTAGGAAATGTTTCGACTTTTTGCGTTTCCAGTTGCGGTGTGTTTGTTCAGGTGGCAGCTGCAAGCGCTCTCTTTTCATTTGTAAATTAATTTTGAGACTACGAAGCTTTCCTCTTGTTTATTCAAACATATATTACAAGGACGAATTTCATCCAATTCGGTTATAACTTATATTCAAACGAGGTGAATCCAGAACAGAATCATTTTGTTCGAACCGTCAAAGTTCTTTTGTCTCCTTTTAAACTATTAAACCGAGAGGCCACTACAAGACGTAAATATTTGGTTTCTTTCCGACGAATTTTCATCGTAAATATAAGCTTCCATCATCGACATGGAAAATGTAACCTCGTTAAACGAACACAATGCGGCCTCTCCAGCAGCTACGCTTCAATTAACCTGCATGTTGAAGTTTGTAGTATTGCAAACTGGTTCCTCGTTTTTAGATCTTCCCACATCGATTGTCAGTATTGTATCTGCCATCCTTGCAATCATGGGGAACACTTTAATCTTGATATCTTTGTGTAGGACAGCTTCAATTGCTCCGCCTTCTAAAGTACTTCTGGGTAGTCTGGCCTTAACAGATCTAGGTGTGGGGCTGCTCGCGCAACCATTGTACATCGTGAAGAGTCTCTCCTCCGACAAAGACACAAAATGTTTCCTTGGTTTACTCTTCGATCTGTTGTCTGGTCATCTCTCGATCACTTCCTTCTTTACAATGATGTTTATTAGCGTCGATAAGTTCCTGGCGTTACATCTAAAGCTACGCTATCGAATTGTTGTTACGCTCAAGCGCTCGATTCTTGTTGTCGTTCTCGTTAGACTGGTTGCCTTGCCATGGTCTCTGTCATACATCTGGTTTTCTGAAGTTTACTTCATGTTAATATTATCGATTATGCCATGGTGTTTATTGATCTCCTCCCTTGCCTTTATCAAAATCCATCGTATCCTTCGACGACAGAAAAGGACATATCAAAACGAAACGCAGCTGGAATCTGTGCGTCGAGCCAACATCCTTAAAATATCCAGATACAAGAAATCAGTCAACAGCATGTTATTCGTTTTCTGTGCGCTGTTGATTGCATACGTTCCCGCGTGGATGGTGATTTTATTACGAACCATCTACGGGAATACCGAGATTTTGAAAATGGCCACGAAATTGACAATGACTCTTATACTTATGAACTCCGCCTGCAATCCCATCTTATACCTGTGGAGGATGGAAGATCTGCGTGTCGCTGCTTTACAAGCACTCGAGGGTTTAATCCCAAAATCACATTTTATGAGCACATCGACAAATACTATCGAGAGTTTTGAGTTACAAGTTGATTGATTATTAGAAAAATGGTTAACAACGAGTAAGCTGCTCACAACTAATTACTCCTCTTTTATTATAACTAACAAGATTCAACTCAATTACCAGTTTGAACAATCTTCTTAAATCATCTCTTGACGAAAAAACAAACGTCAGAGATTAGTGTTACGATAACTGATAACTGGTTGTGTAACGATAACTGATGCTTAATTGCGTTAGTCCCCCTAAGTTTGGTTTCCGCCGGTTTTCTTGAGTCTCTTCTTCGATCTTTCCGAGAAGGAACGATACGAAGGAAAACGCGGGCTCATTTCCAGAACAGCGGTTGGTAATCAAGCCTGCCCTTACCACCTTCTCATACGAACACTCTGAAGGATTCTGGAAACCAAACTAGGTTGAAGAGGTTCTTAAAACTGTCTTATATGGAAGGTTCCGCGAGAGCCTCCACACATTAGCTTGTCGAACAGCACCAAATTCGCTACTCGCCTTCGCAACGTGTGAAAAAAGCTTTAATTTTAAAAAATGTGCGAATAATTTTCCGTCAGGTTTTATTTTCTGAAAATATGCATAATTTGCTGATATCACGTAGTTGTATTGCAAAGAATAAGGATATGTAAAGCCTAGAAGAGGACTCACAGCGCGAGAGATCTTCTTACTTTCGCAACCTGGTTAACTGATACAAATCGCAGCTGGATTCACTTCTTGTTAAGACGAGTGGTTAGCAGTTGGCAAATATACAGAGCACGTAATGTTATTATGCAAATGATTTGCGCAAATGGACTTATTGGTTTGTTAATAAGTTAAAGCGACAAAAAAAGCCGTCTGAAAAATGTATGTGATCGAACTTACCGGTGATTCAGTAGAGGCGATAAAAAAGATGCGCAAGTCGGATAAATATTATTTTTTCGAACTTTAAGTTTGTTATATAGAAACAGACATCTTTTTAAAGAAACGTCAATTACATAAAATTTAATTTCGACGACTCACGTGTTTCAATAAAATTATCTCTGAATATGCGTTTCATCTCTACCAAAAATGAGGGAACAGATGAGACAATTCGGGATATTTACGTCCACTTCAGCTAATAGCCAATTTGCAACCAAACTCCCAAAGACGTGTTGATCAAGATTCTTTCATCAAAGTGACGAGAAAAAGTGTATTTACTCGTCGAGCTGTCAATAAACCCTTCAAAATATGCCATTTTGAAATACATCGCAGATAGAGCCGATAAAAAAACCAATCAAACTCGAAGTGGCCGTAAAATTCCTTTATGATTTCAAAGTGACGTTGCTCCGAACATCAGATAACCAAAATTTGTCACTATTTCATTAACGACTGTTCAATTTTTTCAGGAATTGCGATCACGTATCGAAAATTGCGGCTTTTTTGTAGCATTTCCATTTTTGAAAATAGCTACCCTCTTCACGATACCCTTCTTCAATCATAGGGAAATCAGTATGCCTTTTTAACCTTTTCCGTTAAAATCGATACAAACATGGAAATATATATACTTTAAACTACAAATTCGTCGAAAGTGATCAGTTTCTGAGGGAGCTGAGTGGTAGGCAGGAAAGTGAAACACCAGGACATTAATATCAAAGAAAATTGATACTGAAACCAAAATAAATGAACCTGTGAGGCGGATTTCGAATAGATGAATTCCCTGTGCGAGCAAACTTATATACTTATTCAGCTTCTTTATGTTTATGTAATCATAGTGGAGTTGAAACGTTGTTTGGTCTTCGTTTTGCGTATTACACAAAGGAAGTCGGATGTAAAAACTGATCCCTCAACTGTGACTTTAAAAATGAAAATTAGATTTTGATATTATGAAATTGAATCATTCAACAACGTTCGATCAGTCTAACCTTATGCCAGAAGCTGTATTGTGCTCTAGAAAGAGTGTTTTCTTCTTCTTGTCTGTCAGTGTTTTGTATTTGGCTCAAAGAACAGAAGAGACGTCATCTCATCTCACTGAGCCAATTTCAATGTCAAAATTACCATAGATGTATCTACGACAGAGGGACTGACAGGTTTGCAGAGTTTTCAAGATCTCTTCTTGTAGAATCCGGCTATTAAAACTTTTGTTCTGACCCTGGAGTAGAGTGAATTACATACGAAGCAAAAAAAAATAGCACTATACATGACAATACGTCAAAATAACGATTTTGGCCTGGAAATCTATAAATTGTAAATTCAAGGTTTACCTTAAAGTAAACAAGAAACTAAATCAGTTACCTTGGAGTTGAAAGAGGTTTTGCAGCCCGCAAAAAGCGCCACTCAAAATTTTATCTTTGGGCAGAACTCGATGAAAGAGTGGATCCTGATTATACTATTAAAATTATCTCCCACTTATTCTATTTTAGTACAGGAAAGTTCGAGATCGTGGCACACATTAGTGTTCTCATGAATTTTTCATGTCTGAAAAAAGATGTAATTAGCCAAAGTAATTCAAGGTAATATCTTCCAAATGAAATTCTAATCAGCTAAATTTTTCCAAGGTAACTTTCCTTATTTCAACACGTATTTCCAGGCCTTACAACGAATTTGTTCGACGAATATATCCTGATAAGCCAGAAGACGGGAGAGTCCTTGATGACTAAACTGAAAAAGGGAATTTTTCATGTTTGATTTTTTTTCCCATAAAGTTTAATAATAATGTACAATTCAGATATAGATGATGTGCCATTAAGGCCACAGGAAACAGATTGCACTTGCATGATACAAGGATCCCACACAGAAAGAGTGTGAGAATTGATGTTTAAGTATTCGGCTATTATACTAATTCGCAGCAGTCAAGTTTAAACAAACATTAAGAGGGAAAGTTTGCTCCAGAATCTAAATTATTCGTTTTTACTATCAAATTGCATAAATAAAAATATATCACTTACTGCTTTACGTGATTTCCCTAAGAAGTACATGACCTCCCGAAATTCTCTTCACATGAATTAGAATTCAACAACAGACGCCATCATTAAGGACAAACACAAAACAACAACTCTGTAACCTCGCCGTCCTTAAATGTCGTCGGAGGATTCAACCCAAGTGACGGGAGTTTCTGAAAGCCGAAAGACGGAGTTAGCTATTCTAATTTTAGTGCTCGAAATTGTTCAAAATTGTGGGAGACACGCGCAGTGGCATAGTGGTCAGTGCATGCGCGCACTGGACTCTGTGTCGGGTGCGAGACCTGGCCGGGTCTTTTCATAGTACCTCTGTAGTAATTTAACCCTTTTACTACCAAGATCTCAATAGTAATTCTCCTTACTGTCTGCCATACAATTCTTGTAATGTTAGTGTAAAGAATTAGGTCTTGGATCAACTTATAATTCCCTGATTGATATTTTTATTTATTCTCATCACTTGTCTGCATGATATTGTATTGATATTGTAAGGAGAAATCCTGTCTTGGTTAATGGCTGCAGCTCCTGTTCATAAGAATTGACTGGGAAGCTTGATGAAATGGTGGGGCGGTGGGGGTGGGGGGGGGAGGGAACCTTACGATGGATTAGCTACCCACCCAAGGGGGAGTACTAATACAACTATTCGCTTGGCGGTTAGGGCAACTGGGATGAGATCCGTTACTTGCTTAATTTTACGAAGAAGCAGAAGAAAGAGGAGTAACACTCAATCACGTCAATGGCCAGAGGCCGGAATTCTAAGCAAGATAATAATAGTATAATAGCTGTATCCATGGACGAACTCTTCGCAAATTGTGAGACAATTCTTGATAGTGTGTACATGTCGATCCTTCTCGGTCCCTCTCTTTTCGTTTTCCAAAATTTCAGTTTCATTATTTTGTTTTTTTTAATTTTATATGATAAGTTTTCTTTTTATAAATATGACAGATAGATTGTGGCACCAGTGGGGGGAAAAACCCACCCGTTTCTTGCTTCCTAATCCTTTTTCAGTTCTTTTCACAATCAATTCTCGAAGGGAATGACAATTTTGTATACAAGTGCATATTTCAATTCCCGAGGATATGCAACGTTTTGAATTTCATGTTCATATATTATCTGTGATAAACCAGAATTTTTGCGAACCAGTTCCTACAGAATCGATTTCAACACCTTGAGTTTTCAATAAAGCAATATTTTGTCTCTACATGTGGGAGAGATCGTCACGTTGGTATGGGTGCTTGAAGACACTGTGCTTATGAAAGTTGTCTTTTCCCAGCCTTTCAAGACCATAAGAACTCAGTTTTTACATTTTTAGATAATTTGCTCTATAACCCACCTTCTATAGGCCAGCTTCTTGGTTACCACCGTTCTTAGGTGCTTCAATGTTTACAATCACTAACATTATACATTACAATTACTATGAAAAATCTGATTGGTCGACAGAATTCAATCAATAGTAAACAGCGTGTGAACTCGACATGATAAATGCAATATCTGCAGCGGATATTGCATTTATAAAACCGAGTTCAAAGTCTGCCTGGTCTCCAAGCCCCTCGTCCGGATAGTATGCTGAAACTTTTGTAAACTCAGAGAGGAAAAAAATATATCATAAAACAATTATTGAATTCAATTTTCGCATGATATAGTGCTTAACTTCATCAGATAATTACTTAATTTCTTTTGTAAGTTCCAATAGATTCGATTTTTATCTTTTATGCGCGTACACTTTTTTTTAAGAACGTCTATTTTTGCGGCGGAGGATGAAAGTTCCTTTTCTCGCAATTTGAACCTGAAAACTGTCTTCTTGAAAGTTTCTTTAGTGCAGAAAAAGTTCGACTAGAAACTGAGTTGTTTTTCAGTGTATCGTCGGTGTAATATGAAAACGGCATTGTTAATGTTAAAAAAATGTCCCTTTATCATTCGAGTTAATTTTCCTGTTACACCACAGTTTTCCATTTCTTTCACGTTTATTCATACTTCTCACACAAAAAAAGCAAAGTAAAGACGTTCGTTACTGGCTCTCAGCCTGGGTATGATTTCAGGATGTTCATAAAATTTTGGTTAATCTTAGCCCGACCGTTGTTGCAAACGTTTCACAAAAAATAAAAAAGTTTAGTATCTTTA